TTTATGAGCCTCTGAAGGTTCAGGTCCGAATCCACTATGACACCAAGGTTTCAGCAATAATCAGTGGTTTCTAGCTGGAGTAGCTGAAGCTGTGAACCAACTCTGGATCTCTCCTTCTTTGGTCTGAGAGTTATTACCTCAGTTTGGTTTTTATTCAGTTGTAGAAATGATGTTGCATTAAAATAATGTGTTCTAAGCATCTAACCAACACTCTGATGGGTTCATAGTCACCTGGTGACATTGTGATGTAAAGCTGTGTGTCGTCTGCATGGTTATGGTAACTGATCTTGTTGTTTGTTATAATTTGAGCTAAGGGGAGTGTGCAGATATATCTAGCAAGGCCCCAGAATGGAGCCTTGAGGAACCCCACACGTGATTTTTCTGGTTTCTGATCCAAAGTTCCCCAATGGCGCAGAAAAGTCCCTTTTCTTCAACCAGTCCAGTGCTGAACCGGAAAGGCCGACCCAGAAGATCTAATAAAATCAATTGATCAATAGAATCAAACCCTGCATTGAGGTCCAATAATACCAGCACTGTGGATCTTCCAGAGTCTGATTTATTCATAGTAATAGATAATTCTCTGTACTGTAGTTGTCATGGAAACCTGATATCAAAGACATCAAAGCAGCTGGTCATTGTTAAGAAGGCATTTAACTGTTGAAACAACTTATTTCAATACTTTTACTGATGAAGGAGAGATTTGATATGGGTCTGTAGTTCAGAAGGACCAATTTGTCCAGGCTTTTTCAACAATGGTTTGATATCTGCGGTTTTTAAGGCTCGTGGGAAAACATCTGACATGAGGGATGTGTTTATAATTAGAATAAAATCAGACTCTAAAACAGCAAACCTTCTTCATTAAACCTGTAAGACAGCAGAAGGATAAGCTTAGCTGAGTTTATTCTAACTGGAGACAGCCTGGGTACTGGAGTTGACGTCAATGTGCAGACTGCTTTTCTAATATCCTGTATTTTATTATACATTTTGAAAAGTCATTGAAGGCCTTTTTAGATTTGAGTTAATCAGACACAGTTACAGGAGGGTTTGTTAACCTGTTGACTGTGGCAAATAATACAAGAGCATTTCTTTTATTGCTGCTGGAGCATTTCTCCATGGAGATTTGATCTTCCCAGAGACAACTTTCACTTAAACTGGAGCAATGGAATCAATGATGTCTGCAACTTTAGAATGGAAAATATTAACCAAGCTCATCTGAGTTACCAGGGAAAATGGAAGCAGAAGGATAAGCCTGGGTAAAGTTATTAATCAATCACCCATGATAACATGCTTTCTTATCAAATTTCTTTTGGTAATTTAATCAGTGAGAAAAAGTATTTCAAATTTTCTTACAGGGCAACATGAGTTACAGAAACATTAGTGTCAGGATTGGGTTGAGGTTTGTGGACCCAAATGCAGAGGCAGGGAGGCAGAGGTGAGTTTTTTTTTTTAGATTTAATGCAAGGTAAACAAACAGAGGCAGGAATCCAAAAATCAATCGTGAAAACAAAGATAAACAAACCAGAAACCAAGAAGACATCTGGGGGGAAACTATCACGAGGCGGAAGACTCAGAGAGACGGAGTTGGAGGAAGTTAGACGAGGAACCAGCACTGAAGGACTGAACAGAGAGTGTATTTATGGGAGACTGAAACAAAGAGAGGACTAACGAGCAGATTGGGAGCAGGTGTGAACAGAGCAGAACAGGAAAGGAGCTAGGGAAAAAGGAGAACACAAGAGGGCAGCAGAGGGCAACAAATAAAAACCTGAAAACTGAAAAAAAAGAGAAGACAACAAAAATAAGAAATAAACCACTAAAACTAGAAAACAAGGAGCAAAGTAAAACTAAACACTCAAAAGAAAACATAACAGAACCAAGAACTATGACAATTAGAAACCTAAAATATGTCCTGGATTAATTAAAATCCCCATTAGTTGTCACAAAAGCTGGACGAGATAGTCTTCCTGGGGTCCACGAGACACAACAAAAATTAATTGACAATTAAACATTAAAGATATTATTATAGATATCATCAAAAATCATGCCAATAAGTTATTACATTCATATCCATTAAAATAATTCTCACTTTCATACAGTAAATATGTTAATTCACTAATCACAAATCTAAATATTGCAATCTGAAGTATTAATTCAAATATACTTTACTATTCAGTTCATGTATATTTATTTAGGGCATTTATTCCAA